CCACCACCACCACCACCACCACCACCACCACCACCACCACCACCACCACCACCACCACCACAGGTAAATGGAATTTGCTCAATCAAGTTTAAGTGTAACACGATTGGAATTCTAAACAAATATCAAAGACAATTTTAGTCAATGACTGCTTAACTGCGAGAATGCGAGTGTCCTTCTATAGTGATACGACCTTGTTACCTTGTTCTCGCAACACCGTAGACAGAACTCGTTTCATTCCATTGCATCACTGAACCGGCCAACTTCAGTCCTCGCAGAAGGACATGTCAAACACGACCATAGGTTGGTCGAAGGCACAGTGGCATGCAATACTAGGACGTTGAGCTGGGGCTCCAGGATATTTCTCCTCAATAACTTTTGATCCGCTGCGCTGGTGTCGTTTTTGATGCGCTATTTTGCTCTTAGACCTGCTGCAGTAATAAATCATTTTTGCGTCTGTGTGTGGGTGCTGCTTACAAGCGAATGTTTTGCACGAGTTGAAAAAAACTGAGGTGGAGGAGGAGGAGGCGACAGAGGAGGAAGCGGAGAGAGAGGAGACCAGAGGAATTATTTACAGACGGGCAAACGCGCACACTGTCGTTCACACCGGACAGACAGTGGAAAAAGTCAGCCAGTGGACGTATTTTCTGCACCAAGGAAGAGCGCATTTAAGGGGAAGGAGGAGGAGGAGGAAGCGGAGGCGGAGGAAAGATGTAAAAAAACGGGATGAATCGAAGGCACAAGCGAATCCAGCCGCGTGCCAAGAGACATCGCAGTGCTGACGCACCCTCTCTGTGGCTAAAACGCCCTTCAACCTTGGCGATTATTTGAAAGACTGGCATCCAGTTCAGAGAATAAAAAAACAGGCGAATTTCAGCTAATTATGGAAGCCGTCCTGATTGATTGCGCTGGACCAACTCAAAACTGGCCTAATTTTTTTACAAATTTGCAAAAGATCAAGACAAACGATGCAAAAGATAAGTTATAAGTTGCTTGAGAAAGTGTGGAAAAGTGTGTTTTAGGTGTCCCACAAATTCAATTTCGCCGGAATATGATTTTGTGAGCATCACGTTTTAAAAAAAAACTCCAACATGTGAAGAGGTCAAGCGTGTTTGTGTGTGTCGATCGTTCGGTTTCAGCGTCTAACTAAAAATCAAGGCGGACGGCTTTTCAGATGGTCTGGTTGTTCAATAAACAGCAAATCTGTTCAAGGACTTGGCAGTTCCAAAGTGCTTTTCAACAAAAATTCCTGGTCCTGTATTCTCTGCCCTTCCTTTCTAGGGGTAAATTATTTGTTTTAATTTGATATACAGGGACACCCAGTTGTAACCAAACCCTATTCATTTTCAAAATTTATAAATAATTAAGGCAACATTTTTTGACCTAATTTTACAAAAAAACTATTAAAATAATGAAGCATTGTTTTCACTACAGCAACGGCAATAAAATCTATTCAGATTATTTGTTACTTTTAGCAAGAATGATTTACACAAGGGCTACCCAGTAAATTAAACATTGTTGAATTTACTAACGATTTTTACGCAAAACGTCCAACACGTTTAGAGGTAAATGACAGCTGAATGCCAAGCACACGAATGCTCGATCGTATGTAAGTGTGATCGTTTGAGAACTGATCTTCCATTGTTTTAAAAGAAGACGCATTTTTGTGTTGATTTGTTGTACCGCGGTAACTGATCACTTAAGAGGCAGTGACTTTGATGGGAATTTTAATGGCCTCAAGACGACCATATATGGAGCATTATAATGTTGTTTTAAATGTATTTTGAAGGCATAATGTGGATGTTTATTGTTTACGAAGTTCTACGGCCGATAGCCATTTACGACAAGTTAATTTAGTATGATAAAGTGGGTTTAAGCACACCCTTGTGAAAACTTCTGAAACAGACCTCGTCCAAGGAAAACTGCACAATGGCATGAAGCAGCCCCAGTGCGGCTTTGGGAACCACACCAAGGCCGACGATCTGCATCAACAGTTGGCGTGTAGCCCGACTTATTGACTGATGCCGTAGCGGTGAGTGTGTGCGTGTGTGTGTGTGTGCAACATAAGAGGTCACTTTACGTAGGATCAGCTACACATCGATTCCCGAACGAGAGCATTTTCGTAAACCAATTGAATCATGTTCGCTCACGACTGCCGTGTTCGCGCGCTGCTCGCCACAAGCAGTTTTGGCTCCAGGCTGTTATCGCCACCAACTGAAATGGTTTGAGGACATCTGGTGAGTGTCGGTGGTTCGTGTTCCGCTTGGGTTGCGCAGAAAACCACACGCTCTGCTGAATGCTAGCCAGACTGGTGAATTATTCATATGATGTTTTGGCCCATCATGTATTCCCTCCTCCTTCAGGCTGTGGGTCTTGTTGTGGTATTTGGGATATAGCCAAACCTAGGAGAAGTTGAGTACATTTAGAGCTAATTAGTGAAGATCGTGAAGAGTATTCTTCTTGGTGACAAAGGCCAACGCGAGGCCATCGATGGAGCGAATTTCCAATGTCGTGTACTTCCGACTGACCAGTAGAAGGCAGAAAACTCACTTAAAAGATCTCCTGATTCACGTCTCCGAGTCAAACCCTTCATTTTTGCCTTCGAACACAAACTAATGCTTAATTTTTACGATTTTGCCAAAATTACCCAATCCATCTCATTGTTGGGCGGGAAATGTTTGAGACGTAGCTGCGACTTGTAAAGCGACGCTGTTCGTCAGTTATCTATCTTGATAAAATGAAGTGCATAGCATTTTGTGTCAGTCGTGTCGAGAGACCAGATGATACTTTCGTAGATGGGAACATCCTCCACCGAAGGTGGAAAATAAGGCAGACAAATTACGCAAAAGACCGTAATCGATTGGACAGCAAGATATCTCAGTAAAACAATTGAGTACGTTCAACAGATATCGGGAATTTGAAGCAATCGTTTGCGAGCAAAGAGAACTTGCTGCCTTGTAGCGCGGTTGCACATGGTGGTGAAATTGATGTCGTGTTCAATGTGCTATTCGTAGCCAAGAGCACAAGTTGTAAGGAGGGAATGAGCATGCACAAAATGCAGCCAACACCATAGAAAATGCTTTCGTGATGTTAAAGCCCGAGTTTCAATAGCTGCCTTTGGGGAAATTGCACTTTAAACAGCACACAAAACAAGCATGACGTTGAAATTGATTTTACTAATTTGAGCATGACTAGCTTCTACAATAAACACGTCAACCACGTGGAGTTTTCTTCTTAACCTGACGAAATGACCAAGATCGGTGGAGATGATCAGGGGATGGGATGATTTGAAAATTGATTTTCATTCTCTCTGTAGTCACTTTTCATTGGTTTGTGTGATGCCAATGTCATTGGCTTTAGTGCATTGCTTATACAATGCGGCAATTGCCCGATCGCATTAGTTCAGGCGAAATTTCGCCTCTAATTAGGTCGTGATTTTTGTCACACTGGATGAGAATGCATCTGACGAAGGGAGTGGATCCTCTGCGGAAATCTCGTCAGCGATGTTCTCTGGAATGCAACTTCTCACTACTTTTGGTTCCAAATGGACGCGTATTTACGATCGCGGCACCACATTTTTGACATTCAGTGGTTGCGATGAAGCCACGGACTTGAACTGCGGCACAGAAGTGATACACTACATTTAAAATGGCAATTTCGACCCTAAGTTTCACATCATGTTCTGACCGTCGATTGACTTCGATGAGGAGAGTTTGACGAAAATGAACGAGAGGCGGCAGTTGACGGAGCACATTAGTTGCAAAGTGAAAACCATCTGGAGCCACGTGGAACCAATGGATGAGGTTCAAGAGATGGAAGTGTGATTCTCTGGGGTTTGACGAGAACGCCGGTTTGATTGGCTGGCAGAAGATTGCTCATAAAAACACACTAATCAAGATTCTCTCATATCGCATTGCCACTGGCGCCAACTTCTCAAGTCAAACACAATCTTTTCTGTCTAAAGATGATGATCTGCATGTGATGGGACTGTGATAACGAATCACCAAGATGCCACCATTCACTGCCGAAATTGAAGCCACTTATGCTTAGCATAAATTAATTATTAACCACTTCGTGACATTCAGTCGCCGATGGCTTAACTCACTCCCTTGGGACACTTTCTGCTTGGATTAAGACCTGCCTCATAAATGAATTATATGCCAACCAATCAGCATCGGCAGATGGACAAATCGAGGGCCGTAATTCGCTTCAATCGTCTCGTGAGTCATTTTCAATCCTTCACCCCCGTCTTAGCACAGTTCTGCCTCTTTAGCAAACTTGGACTTGTCCAGTTCATATCTACGAAATCTTCAACACCCCAGTAATGAGTGAAGAATCCACGCGGCCTGGGAAATGTTAATGATATTTTTCTGCTAAACTTTCCTGTCCTCGCTCAAGTACGCGCGTACGCGTGCGAGGGTGTGTGCACACGTTTTTCTCATTCAAAACTTCCCTCTTGGTTATTATCGTGCAGGCGGCTGACTGCCAATTTTAGTAACCGCTGCTGCCACAGGCGGAGACATCACCTCTCTCTCTCACTGCCTCTATCGAATGAGGAGAGAGGACACGCAGGGGTGGTGGGGTGTGGGGGGGAGGAAGGTGGACCGATCAGTCGTCTCCGTGGCATGATTCATTCGCCAGGTAAGTGTGTGCATGGCGTGTCTGCACTAACGCAGTTGACTTGTGCATTGAAAAACCAGCCCAGTGTGAATTTGCCCCTTTGTGTGTTCAGTGAAGCATTGAAGACGACTGTTCTGCAAAGCTACATTATCTAATCACGTAGCTGTAGCATAATCGCAGCCACGGATGCCAGTTGCGTGTTCTCATGACCCCAAAGATGTGCGATTAGAGCTGTTTAAGTCGGCAGGCATTGGGGTAAGATGTGTCCGAGACTGCAGAGGTCATCTAGACGTTCTACTGGCATATTTCTCGGAGTCAAAAGCATCGTCCCAACTACAAAATGAAGGCGAGACGGCTGCCGCTCCGAGCACCCTTTTTCCGCACTCGATTGTGCGATAAATAGCCACGCGATTGTTGCAGCAGAGTCACCATCAGACGCGCCTTCTCCAAGTCCTCCACCCCACTTCAAACACACATGATTGACGCGAGTACACAACCACCTAAGGCGTGCGCTGTCACCCCTTTGCCCTCCCAAACCCCCGGCAAACGCACGTGTGCATTGAAAGGCGACGCCATGCTGCTCAGCGTGCACAACAAGCTGCCACGATGGGCGCGCACGTGGCCGATGACTCAGCCGCCACCCCATTGGCTGACGAGTTATCGTGTCGTGCAAATCTTGCGCGTGCGCGCGCGCGCGCGCGCGCGAGATTCAATTATTAATTGTCTGCACGGCCTGTTTGATTTCGTGCTGGGCGCGCGTCGTTCGCGGGTGATTAACGCAATACAGGCGCACGCACAGACTGAAAACATGAAATTTGAGGGGGTGGGGCAAGCTGAAGACCCAGTTCTCGTTCAGACCTAATAAATAACGCTGCTACCACTATCATGTGAATGGATAAGAATATTGGGTTTGGGTGGGTTGTATGAGGTGATATGCATAGGAGCGTCAGTCGTGAGAACGCGAAGTCCATAATTCCACCACCTCTTCAAGTGGAAATGTGCTGTGCTCCGCGCGACAACTTGTTGTGTGGTCCACAAAAAGCACCAGCTACGCCGATTGTCACCGTTTCAGGTGATTTTAATGTGGATTCTGGTGATTCTGCAATAATTGTAGACGTTTGCAAACTGTCGAGATTTAGCCAACAACTTATCAGATTACCGTTTCCCTTTAGTGCGCCAACATTCCCTTCAGATCTTCGGAGGATTGTCGTCTGCGCCAAATTAGCACTCACAAGCCTTCAGCCCCACCTTAAATTTTATGCGCATGACGCGATAACGGTGATAATTATCATGCGCAAGTACTAGACGAGAAAAAAAAATCCGTGCCCTAGAACAAATTACAGGTCAACGTGGTACCAATTTACGAGACTTCAGCGCGCGGCAGGGACATCAGGCGCGTCAATCAAGCAGGTGCTTGCCCTGCTTAAAGATAAATCATGTTTAATTTTCTAGCATTTACCATTAAATTCTACTTTAATGGTTTCAGTAGCAATAAATATACAATAACGCTTCAATGCGAAAGTGGAACTCGCTTGTCGTGGCAGTGATTGAAAAAAAATTAGAGACACTACTTAAATACCGCAGGTTTTTATGATTAGCAGCCTTTATTATCCAGTAATACTCATTTCAACATTTCCTTCCACTATTGCTGACTTCTTCCACACACTTGCTATTCAAGATATTTTGTCGAGGACAAATAATCGGATGAAACTGTGAAGGACCAAGATCCGACGAATACGGTGGAATTCCACATGGATGACTTCCACTTTAAAGTGACCAGAAACGCGTACGTAGATGCCTCCATAAGCTCAAAGTGAAGGCACAATTAGAAAAAGAAAAAAATTAATTACTATAGTTTATAACCACACGAAAAATTCATTAAATTAAGTAAAAAGTAGACAAAGTTATTTAAAGGCGATTCGCAGAAATCCACCACTAACATTTACTTCATCCTTTCGATTTTGGTTGGTCTTTCAAAACGCCGATTTGGGTGTCGATTATGAACAACTCAATTATCGATTACTGTTTTCAAGACAAGATGGCGTGTGCCTTGATTAAATCCCATGGACGGTTTGCCGTGGAAGATCGTTTGGCACGTGTGAAGCGGACGTATTGAGCTCTCTTTTGCTCCTACATCACTAACATTTAAGAATGCACCATGCTTGAAGTTGAATTCATTTTACGCAGGAAACACACAAACACCCTTCAATGCTCAAATCTTTTGGTTTCATTTAAAGAAAGAAAAACAACGATTTTCAACCAATGACTGTGTGGCACCAAATTTAGCCAGTAGGAATGCTCGATTATGCTAGAATTTAATAATCAGTAAAAATAATGTGGAAATGTTGTGGCACGATCTTACAAATATTCAAAACGGGAACTTTCATTGCCACGAAAAATACGCCATGGTTTGATGGTTTTCTATCCACAAAATCAGTTGGCATTTAGGGTAACGCCTGTCCACTCAAATAACATTTTAAAGAGCGTTGGGTGAACAATTACGGTTAGGAGGCATTTCAAAAACGCATTTCACTGCACCAAAACAAACTCACTAATCCCTGGTTCCAACATTTCCCAGCCGTATGGTGAATTTGTCGACCAAGATAATCCAAACAACTAATAGCCGCCAAATTGACTGGCTTTCGTTTGAGTGTTCATATCGTGATTACGTAGTGAGCCAAAACTAGCGCATTACGATTTCTCCAACCTTTGATCGTCATCTTCAATCAAGTGTATTGAAAAATATTTCAAAAAGAAGCAAACAATTTGAGGTCATGAGAAATCCTACATGCGCGAATTTGGGTTGAAATAACGAGCACCGTGACAATGGAAAATGACCACGTTGAATGAGACTGTGTGTGGATGCTTGTAGTGTCCAAATATCAACAGCAACCTCTGTAGATCGGAAAGGTTAGTTCAGCGGCTGAACAAAATAACGGCGTGTAGCAATGTTTATGATTGTCGAATTGAATTTGGCACATTTGCATCCATCAGGCCCTGTCAAATGTTTCCCAAAGCTTTGCACATTATTCTGCCTCTTCCATCGTACCAAATGCTTGGCCTTTCTTCAAAGCAGATTCTTGGATAGATGCAGACGCCTTCCATGGAATCACACTTTTGCCATTCAAGGTATTTTAGCGAGGACGGATGCAGGGAAGAAGGAATAAGGTGGGATTCCACATGGATGACTTCCTCTTCAAATCTCTTGATTTCAGCAGTGTGTGCTGAACCACACGTGGCCGGGCCTTGTCATCATTGAAAGCGATTCCTTTGCGATTGAGCTAATCTGCGTGTTTTACTTGGGTTTCGACGTTGACTTGAGTTATTCATGGTATCTCTTCGCAATTGCTGCCCGTCCTCGTGGAAGAAGCTCGAGAATCATTACTACCAGGTGCCCAACGACACCCCCAACCTTGACCACGGATTCAGCTCCTTCACTTTCATGCTTCTAGCCTCTTCTTCTTCCTCTCCTCACTTGGTTGTTATATATAAGCCACTTTCCGTGTCCACACAACAGTGGATGAAGGGAGGCATCGTTTTGTTGACGTGCGAGAAGAGAACAGGCTGTGGGAGCACGGTCCAGATTGTTGGGTTCTGTGTGGACATGCGAGACCCAGATGTCGAATTCCGAAGTGAATGCAAGCCGCTTTTAATGGGGAATTCCACTCAACTTGGCAGCATTTAGTCGACCAACAATCTCTTCAGTGGTGACCTCTGGATTTGCACTCACCACAAATGAACCCTTTGGCGAGAGGTAAGTTCTTTGCGTGGATGGATTGCGGTCAGTGTGTCAGTTTGACTGACCCGTTTGTGTAACATTTGGTTAAATGCGTTTCTATTTCCGCGTGAACGGTACGGACGAGCTGTACACGTCGCAACGCGCATTCATTGTAACACCGTATCATCAGACAGGCATCCAAGAAAAGTTCGACCAAGTGTTAAGAAGAGACAATAGCGCAAACGCCGTAACCATCCAATAAGCGTGAGCTGTGAAGCAATTTGTACAAGACGAGAGCGTTTCCCAAAGTGCTGAGGTGGTGTTGGCGCGATTCGAAATGCGCACGATCCAACTCAGTGGTCCCGGCGTGGTTCAAGACCACATCTAGTCTACCAACAGCCTCTTCAGTGGCAACCTGTGGATGCGTATTCATGAAATCGTGGATAAAGCCATCGTCGGTGATGAGGGTGGGTCCTGTGGAGCGAAGTTTACCATCTGGATTGAAGTTGTCTAAACCACTTCTAACCGTCTACAAAGCAGCATCCCTGATTCCATCTTGAGTGTTTTGCTGCAGTTACCGCAGTCACCTCGCCTCAAACTCTCGCAACACGATTTGAGGCAAATGTGACTTCTGTTCTCCTACTGAAGCACCTTTTTCTTTATTTTAACAGAATCAGGAAGCAGTTGGATACTTGTCAGTTCAGCGAGAAATATCAGCACAACCAAGAATGCACGCTACTGCCAACTCCGGTCACGCAATGCCGAATGTGCTGTTGTATGTTTAATATTATTCACTACACGTTTACTAATGTGATTTGGGCGATTTATTCCGATAGAAGTTGGCTGAGCATCGAATTTTGCGTGGCAGAAAGTCAGTAATTCCAGTTTTTTTTCTTTCGAATTTCGTCCAATTTCCAAATTGCCCTCACTATTTAATCAGTTGTAGTCAAATTATTTCTATCAATCCTCTTCTTTTAACCATCTACTCTTGGTCCAATAGGGTCATTTTGTCTACCACCTATTTTTGTTTGAATTCACAGGGTTAGAACACAACTGGTTTTTCTGACCTCGACCCAAAACACAGTCGCTCCAACCAGTGTCAAGTTTAAGCTCCGACTGCTGCGTCGCTAATGAACTCATTGAAGCATGCTGAGTTTTTTTTGTGCTACTGCCTGCCACAAGCATGTTCCTTTGTTCGCCTGATCATAAACAACGTTTGTTTGCATTAAAGTGGCAACATCGCCTTCACCCATCCTCTCACCCACCCACACATCCCCCTCCCACAGCCTTCTCGCCCGTCAGAAAGGGGGAGGAGGAGGAAGAGAAAGACCACCAGGAAATTAGCCCCCGGCCAGTGAGTAATGCGCATCCAAGGAGATAAATAATCCAGCAAAACAAGTCAGACCGGTGTGAGAATGTTCGTGGATAAGATGCTAGTCATTTACGCGCTGATGATTTTGCCTCGACCATCAATTGGGACAGGTTTATATAATCGACGAAAACAAACGCCGAATATTTCAAAGGCCGGGTCTAAAAGCCCTTTTGAACCACGAGGAACGAATCAAACTGTCAAATTTCCAAAGTCCCTCTCACAATGTTTCCTATCTGTTTAAAAAAGGTGATTACATTTAGGTGAAAACAGAATGTTTTATAATCTGACGTGTTTGTGTTCCCCTCTATTCCTCTCTGTAAGGTAATGAAACTTTTAATGACGTGTTAGGTTATTAGGCTGTGGAGAAAGAAGTCAGTGAACCTTCTACTTAAGTCAGTTTATAAGTTGTAGGTGTATAGGCCTGAGGTACATCGTCAAGAACTCTAGCGGGTTTCCGCGTAATCGAGTTATTTTTTCGATAAATTGTTTATCTGAAGGTTACCGTAGTCTGATCCCCGTAAATCTAGGGGAAGGGCGCAGCAATTTATCAAAAGTGTCAGGCAAGAGAATTTTATTACGCTGAATTCACTGGCCTCGGGATTAGTAAGATTAGATGCACACAAATTCAAATCTTAACTCATCTCAAAAATCCGTTTTGATTGGTTTATCCCCGAGGACTTCTGACGATAACCTTCTTGATGATGACCTGCGTTTCGGCTGCAGTTGTAGGAAAATCTTGGTCGATATTTCATCAAGTAGATCTTGCTGGCTA